TCGAATGCTTATTCTGCCATCTTGCTGCATTCCTAGAAAAGGTGCACATGACAGTGGGTCGGAGAGGATTTAAATACTGTGTAGCAATTTTAATGACAAGTAGACGAATAAAGTGAACATGTCGATAAAGATGTACAGTAGAAAACCGTGCGCCATTTCTGAAGCAGCATAGAACTTTCTGGAAAATTCTAGTCTAATACAAGCGTTGTATGGCCAGAATTATAATGTTAATCTACTCGTGGATAGAAAAAAAGAAAAAGCGTAACTTAAAGAAATAAATATTTTCCAGATCATATTTTATAAACAAACTACTGTTCAAAAGTTTGGGGTTGGTAATATTTTGTAAGGTTTTTTTTTTTTTAAAGAAAGTTTCTTATGCTCTCCATAGCTATATCTGTTTGATCAAAAATACAGACTAAAGAAAGAATTTTGTTAAATATTATTACAATTCAGTAATCATTTACAATTTAGTCTAGTGTTCTATTTTAATATATTTTTAAAAAGTAATTTGCGATTGCAAATTTTTCTGAAATTTTTCTTCAGCCATTACTCCAGTCTTCAGTGTCACATGATCCTACAGAAATTAATCTAATATGCTGATTTGAAGCTCAGTAATTTCTTTTTTATTATTATTATTACCAATTTTATTATGAAAACACTTGTGCTGCTCAATACTTTTGTGGAAACCAAGATTTTTTTTTCAGGATTCTTTGACAGCATTTACATTTTAAACTGTATAATTAAACATTATACATGTATTTACGGTCACTTTTGATCAATTTAATGCATCATTGCTGTATAAACGTTTTTTTTTTCTTTCAAAAATCTTGCTGTCTGAACAATTGTGTATTTATAATATTTTTATATTTTCACAGTATAAAGTTGGTCTTAATACATGAAAAGATATAGCTGCCTTTTATATTTAAGAACAGAGTCTATATGGCATCTAAAAGATTTAAAACCCCTGGTCTAAAAGACATTTACATGCTCCTATTGGAATTTTCCTGTAGACATGTAGACCACTGCTGCCAACAGATTCCTGACTACAGTATGTACCTCTGAGTATTTCATGAGCTGTCTGGACACATCGGAGGCTGGGTGAGCAGTACACAAAATCAATAGTGGTATTACTTTCCAGCATAGCCTCACCTGGAAATCAGACGGATGACATAAAAAGAGCATGATACACAATTCACTTGGAGAATTCATCTCAACATCATAACACTGAGCAGACATACCCACTATCTTAGCCTGTGTAGCTCCAACCACTGTGATAGGAGCATCCATTTCATAGTCCCTGTGTGCTCCACCCCAGGCAGGTAGTGCAGCGGGCATATTCAGGTTACTCCTCACGTACCTGCCTACAGGAAGACAAACTGAGCTCGCAAACTAACTGTACCATGTGAGCGAGGCGCCATGATCCATCTGTTCGGATTACCTTTAGAGTCGGAACACTGTGAGAGCCAGTGTTTCCCAAACACAACATCCATTCTTTCTCCATGCCGACATACAAACAAGGTCCTTTTAGGGGTCCGAGACTGGATGTTTGAGCGAAGCACCTATCATCAACAGCACAGAAATGCTTTAATAAATGATCAAATCATCTGTAACTGCACCAACCCAACAGTCAAACGTGATACTTTAATTGCTGTAATGTACAGTAACAGGCACCTGCATAGGTTGGCAAATAACACTCAAGATGGCAGACTCTCCCAACTTTGAGTTTTCAAAGCATCGAATGTTGAGCAGCCCATCCAATTTGCTCTCCTTGCAACTCTTTTCCGAAGGGGAAGTACAAAAGAAGGAATGTGACCTGTTTAAGGAGCATAGAGATAAACGCATCCAATAGACACTTTACTATCCCATTAGGCCACAGGAGAGTATTTGTGAATGGAAGTAAAGCGATGCAGCTGACGCTGGTAGGAAAACATGCCAAATGTAGTAGATCCGGATTAAAATGACACTAGACACGTTCGTGAAGTAATAACTAATTCAAAAGAAGTACCTACTCGAAGAGCTGATGAGTACAATTTAGGTGAACCTTCCCTTGAACCCTAAATACGTGCAAGTAATCCTGATAAGTTGTGCTGAGAACTATCAAACTTGCACAGCAAATCTTTTGGAGAACTTACCCATGAAAGACCCACGTGTCAGACTCATCAGCCGGGCTCACATAGTTCTCAGGCAGCAGGCCAGAGATGCCTGTACTCAGAGACGCGCCGTACACCCAGCCCTCACTAGTGCTCATTTGCTCCACTGTAGACGTGAAGATAAAGTCTCCAGGCACCAGTTCCAGCTCATCGTCGTTCTGAGGAGTGTAGGGGTACATCACACGCAAAGTCTGACAATGAAACAGAGGTAAGTCTGCATTAAAGTGCATTCCAGTGAACTAGCAAAACATTAAAACTGAAAAGAAGATTTAAAAGACATAAGGCTCAACTCACCTCGTGACTTGCAAATCGTATGTCTCGTGAGAAGAGGGCAGCGAGCCAATCACAACCCAGCTTGACTTCAATCCCTCTTGCCAACTTTTCCAAGATAGAATAATGATTGGTTGGGAAGTGATAGGCTAGAGTCAAATGAAGCTGCTTTTTATGGGGTTCCACGTGAACATCTATGAAACCAATAGTGTCGTGAGCATTTTTATGAATTTATTCTCTATTCAGATACACAGTATTTTGATCAATGAATAAGTATCAGTTCAATTCATTAGAACACGGTTTAAAAAGGGAAAAAAACATCTAGAATGTTTGATTTACAGTTTATCTTTGATAAGTACAGATTTAAAGGGATAGTTCACTCAAAAATTTAAATTCTGTCACCATTTACTCACCCTCATGTCTTTCTTTTTTCAGTAAAACAAAAAAGGTAAATGTATTTGCAATCCATGCATTGAAAGCATATAGTGCCCAGGGGATGTCAAGCTCCAAAAAGGACAAATAAGCACCATAAAATCATAAAAAAGTAGTCCATACTGTTGTTTGCTGTATTATGTGCACTATATTTGTTTTCTGAAGTCACATGATAGCTTTGTGTAAGGAACAGAACAATGTTATTTTAGTATTATTTATATACTATTATAATATGTATTAATATGTTATATGTATATTTTCAGCTTTCATTTGAATTTTATTTTACATTTTAGTAATGTTTAATGTTTGTCATTTTTAAAAATATATATTTCTATTTAGCTTTATTTTATTTCAGTTTTAGTTTGAGTAATTTTAGTACTTAAACTTAGTTGCAAAGGCAATATTTCTATTTCTTTTTAGGTTTTTTGATCATTTAATAAGTGAAAACTGTTTTAGTTAATAGTAACAACACAGAACAGACTAAAATTCATGTCATTATTTGCTGATAGTTTTAGTTTTGTAAATACCCTGTTTTCATTAGATTGAAAAAAGGCATCTTGGAAATTGATAAATTTCTTCATTTGTGTTCCATGGAAGAAAGTCAGTCATATGGGTAACGAACGCCATGAGGATGAGTAATGAGCTGATTAGAAAAAAATAAAACGTGAGCACTATGCAGGCACCATCTGTGACAAATGCTCTGATCACGCCTCCCCACCAGCTTTAGCAGCAGCCTCCACCGCAAAGTCAGCCGCAAACTTCTTCAGCGCCTCAGCCACCTGCTCCTCCACGAAGAGGCCTATGAAGTTGGTGGAGGTGTAGAGCTCCAGGGGCAGGGGGCTGGGGAAGCGTCCTCTCCATTGATTCACTGCAGACTGCAGAGCTTCACACAGAGCCACTAGTTTATTGTCTGGACACTACAAACACATAAAATGAAGAAATGTAAAATTACACAACTTAAGAATAATAAATCAAGATTAAAATAGAAACTGTGACTCACCATAAAGAACTGGCAGAGTGTGATGTGTGGGAATATGTTGTGAGCTTTGTTTTTTCCACAAGTTAAGCGAGACTGCTGCCAGAAATGAGAAAGCTGGTTTTGTAAAGGCCCACTAGGGCGCAGATACAGCACATACTCTCTGGGTAAAGGGTCATCCAGGAAAGGGTCATCCAAATGAGAGAAAAGCCTATGGAGATACATGCACATGATCATGAACGCTACAGCACAGCTAAACCAGCAAATAAAGCCTGTGTAATTGTAACGGTCAACAAGAATAGTTTTATGCATAGAAAAACTGGATTGACTCATATGAACCACTAGAGGGTGGTACTATTCCTCAAGAAAAGCCAGCTCAAGCAGGCAGAGAAAAAGTGTAGGAAAGCTCACCAGTCACATGCCAGCTGAACACTTCTGCCTCCAGTTGATGCCAGAGCTTTCAATCTGTAAAGAGAGCATATTTTTAGAATTATCAGCATCCAAAATCAAAGAATGATATAGGAATACAGTTAGAACATATGCTAAAGCCATGTTTTATTTTTTTGTTATGTTTGTTTGTTTTAAAAATGCAATCTTTTTGCCTTTCATTTAGATTTAGCAATAAAAAAAAGAGAAACTTTTACGTTCATAATAATATTATACAGCGGGTAAAATAAGTATTGAACATGTCACCATTTTTCCCAGTAAATATATTTCTGAAGGTGCTGTTGACATGAAATTTTCACCAGATGTCGGTAACAACCCAAGTAATCCATACATACATAAAAAAAAAAAATAAAAAAAAACATAAGTTCAGAAATTAAGTTACGAGTAATAAAATGGAATGACACTGGGAAAAAGTATTGAACTACTGAAATGTATTTAATACTTTGTACAAAAGCCTCCTGTATGGAGAAATTAGTTGCATGCATTGCTCAGGTGTGATTTTGGCCCATTCTTCCACACAAACAGTCTTCATATCTTGAAGTTTCTGTGGGCCTCTTCTATGAACTCTGATTTTTAGTTCTTATTTTCTATTGGATTCAATTCAGGTGATTGGCTGGGCCATTCTAGCAGCTTTATTTTCTTTTTCTGAAACCAGTTGAGAGTTTTCTTGGCTGTGTTTGGGATCAGTCTTGCTGAAATGTCCACCCTTGTTTCATCTTCATCATCCTGGTACTGTAGGTGTTGGGACTGAACTAGCTGATATTAATTTCCACTGACTAGGGGCTGGATTGCTTTCTAATTACTGATAGATTTCAGCTGGTGTGTTGGCTTTCCATGCCTTTTTGCTTGTTCATTACTTTTTCCCTGTGTCATTCCATTTTATTACACAACTTAATTTCTGAACTTATTTGTTTTGTTTTCTTTGTATGGGGATTATTTGGGTTGTTACTGACATCTGGTGAAAATTTCAAGTCAACAGCACCTTTAGAAATATATTTACTGAGAAACATTGTGACGTGTTCAATACTTATTTTACCTGCTGTATCTATTTAATCCATTCATTAAATATATTATATTATATATTTGGTCTACATGAATACCTTTTTTTGACATAAAAGTATATTCTCTTAAAGAACACTTAATTTGCCTTTTATTTCATTAATGTTACATTATTTGCAAGTACAGTTTAAAAAAAAAAAAAACTTTTAAGTACACTACAAGTGCAATTTCAATACCTTTAAGCACACTTCTTTTTCAGGTGTGCTTATCGAGAACAGGTA